GTCTATATTTAAATCCACCAAACCGACCCTCAACAAAAATAAAAACATAACAATGAAATAGATATTTTGGGCTGTCTGTGATTTTGATTTTTCTGCGCAATTTGTAGCACTCGCGAACATAACCATAAGGCTGGCAAATATGGTTACGTGATTTGACTCTGAAGCCACATTTCAGGCAGGATGTGTCTCTAGGTCATAACATACGAGTCTGTGTTCAACAGTATTCATAATAGCATTTTCTGCCACAGGATTCGTATTTTTCAAGGCAGCAGCTTTGCATTTGTTGTTCCCATTGCCATGGAGATTCCTATTTACATACGTGCGAGTGTTCATCTAATTGACCAAAACACTACTACACTTCGTTTTCTGTTAGCCGCTTTTTCTTTCTTCGTCTCCATATTTTAAGAAATAATGGCACATTCTTTTTGGAGTTTGCACGCGTAAATTGATCTTTTTCAGAAATAATGGCACATTTTTTCTGGAGTTTGCACGCGTAAATTGATCTTCAAACGCAGATGAGACGAATTTCAGGCCAGAAATGAGCCCAAATGAGCTCAAATGACCCATCTTTGACCTCAAAGCACCTCGTCGGTGAGTACTACACTAACTAGAACACGACTTTACTTTGTGTGCCAGTATGCAATTACATCAATTTTCTTGGAGCCATGGTAAATTTCCTTAGCCATTTTTGCTTCATCGCTGTTAGAAAAAGCGTCGTAAAATTGTTTTTGCTGGCATCTCTCTTCTGAGTCTGTGTGATACATTTGGTATATCCACTGAATAGAAGTGAGTTGGGATACCATTCCTACTTTTATGGCTCCAACGCATGTCTAATTAGCGTGCTCTGCAATATTTTCTTAAATGGTTTCATCAAAAAACATCACTCGCTTCAGATACAGTGGGCGAATTATCCTGTTTCTTTGGAGGGTGTACTGTCATGGACAATATTTCACTCGAATCATTTGTTTTGTTTGCATAGAAACTATGCCTATGTTTATTTCATTCTATTTATAAAGTCATTGCCAGATTCACTAACTTGTCAAACTGCTCTGCCTTTTGCTTTCTTAAAACTCGTACAGCATCTTTTAAAACCTTTTTTTAATGAACCTGTATGATGCATTGTAAAGATACATCGATCTCTTATTTTTTCAGATCCCACTCTTTCGGAATATTTACTCTCCCCTTAAAACGTCTTTGAATTCCTTCAATACACTTTTCAAATCAATAGGTTTTTCTCACTTATCAGTTGTATATAAACAGCCACTGACTATCTCTTCAATTTGAAATTAGTAGTTCACAACTAGATTATATATTTCATCAATGGTGGCACGAAATGATCAATGTACGTATACCATAGAGGATAAATAATACACTGCAAAAAGTCAATACTCAAAAGAGCTGTTATAGTGCATTTATTCAGTCATTCATTTGGATGGCCAAGATGGCGGAGCTATAACACTGTTATCAACTAGCTGTGTTAATGTTTTAAGTATGCTTATTTGTTATCTTAATAGATCCACTGATATTTTAACTTGGATATGCAGTGTCAAGATTGTGGAACATCCACTGGTCATTTGTGTCAGAAAGATTTTTCCTCTGTAAGAAATGAGCTGAAAAGATTCCCTAGGGTGACAAGAAACTAAAGTATGGCGTCAGAGTGCCAACAAAAGCGGTTTGTTGAAAGCCCGTCAATAATGGTGAGTGAACTGCTTTATTTTGTATAAACAACGACCTCAATGCCATATGATTATACAGGGATGTTGCGTATGGACACGTATTGTGAAAGTGACAGTGAGGTGGAAAAGCGGAACCTGTTTTCCGTGGTACAAGCAGATGAGAGAATGACAAGCGGAACGGTAGGGATAAATCTATAAATAACATGAAATGTGTTTTGAATATATTTTCCTGTCCACTGACCCAAATAACATCCAAAGATTTTGTGCATTGGATCTTTTAAACCTGCCACCTGCATCTTACAATTACGTGGACGTATCAATTTTATTGAAGGACATGGAAAATGGGAACCACTCAGTGAACATATCAATTTATTGAAGGACATGGAAAATGGGAACCATTCCAGTGGACATATCAATTTATTGAAGGACATGGAAAATGACAACCATTCAGTGGACATCAATTTTATTGAAGGACATGGAAAATGGGAACCATTCAGTAAACATATCAATTTATTGAAGGACATGGAAAATGGGAACCATTCAGTGGACATATGTTTTATTGAAGGACATGGAAATGGGAACCATTCAGTGGTCATAACTTATTTCAGTCCAGGAGAAGACGTTATGCGCGATAAACGTTTATGTGAACAGAACCAGCCATGTTCTAGTCAAAAGTACATTACATTTCCGTGTTAACTCGAACACAGCAGTCTGATATTGTTCTCGCAGAAAATTCATCTGCAAACCGAGGTTACAGTACAACAAATCATGGCTGATTAGTCAACCATTTAGGCCAACCAGGAATATCCCTGAATCAAGTCGTTCACAGAAAGAACCGTTACTAGCAGCACACACGAAGATATGCAATACACAGATTCAAATAGCAACGATACACAGATTAGTGCAAACAAAAACAAGACTTGCTCTGCTTTATGGTATACAACAGCAGTAAATCCAAATCACACACCCATACACACGTTCTTATTAAACAAGATTATGTTGCGATCTATATTGACTGGGGCTCCACTAATCAGGTGCATATGAAACAGATAAATTGAGTATTCACTGATATAGTAAAAGCTTTGTTTAATTCTGACAAACAGATTAGAGAATGACAAAGCTTGGCTAGTACATCCAATGTGGCCACCCGGTTATACTAGGCTGGAATGACGGTCAAAGAACAACAGGACTTTGCAAGAAATGCTTACTTAATGTGGCGTGATAATGGTAAACCTCGCCATGGACATTTCAGTAACCAAATGCGCCAAACAAGAACACAATTTAAGTATGCTCTTAGATTATGTAAGAAAGAGGATGTAAAACATAGATGTTAAATTGTTCATTTAATATAAAAAAAATTATTCAAATATTATTGCTGCACTAAATATTATACTCCGGTGTGGACAAACTTTAGTGAATATATTTAAAGAAACTAGTTATTGGTTTTAATAGTCGTCGTTTTCTACTAGGTCTTCCTAGATGGACTTCAATTTTGATGAAGTAATTAAAAAGTATGGATTTTCAATGATAACAAGAATAACTAATAGTAATAACTGTATATTGAAATCATTTAAAACTATGACATACATTTAAATCCTCATATTATTAGCAGATAAAACAAATTACTCTTTAAATGCCATTTAATTTCATTCTTAACAATGCAGGGCGCAGTTAATTGTCGTAAATGTATCTGTAAACTTGTACGTATGGAATATATGTTCTTTTATGTTTACAATGTTTTACTTTATATCTGTATATTAATTTAGATATAGGGAATATGAAGTCTTAAATAAATCCTATATTATCTTATTATCTTATCATTCAGTCATTGTAGTAAGTTTAGCAGTGGGGATATTTATCGCTACCATAGATTTGCCTGTGTGAGTACATCATTCTCTCTGCATGATTTTCTCTCGTTTCTATCATCCGTCCAACCTAAAGTAGAATGAGAGGGATTTGTCTATGGGGACATTGATATCCAAATGAGACTAACACACACGTGATATGACGAATGTGTTTATACATAATGCGTGACAAATTAAAGGTGAGCAATTATGCCTAAATTAAGTGGGAGCTACGTATGTGATGAGAGTTAGAGGCGAGAATGCATGTCAGGTGACCCATAGGGTATGAAATATGGTAAAAACGGCAGTTACATAGTACTACTTGTTTCATTTAGATAAAATTCACAATTAAAACAGAGGTACAAATTTCAAGTTTTGATGAGTTTAATTTGATCGTTAACATGAATAACAGAGACAAGAACGAGAATAATGCAATGAGCAGGAATGTATTTCTTGTACATAAATGCAACTATATAATGAAGGATAACTTTTGGGGTTATTTAGATAACTTTTAAGTGGAACTCACTTGTCCACTCTACCCCGAGGCTTGGTCTCTTCGGTTTCATTAGGAAAGGCTTTTATATTTGAGTGATACCCTGATGTATCTGTCTCGGGTCTAGAAGTCCAGGATGTGATAGATTTCTGCTTCAGCGAGATATTGTATTCCTGGCTTGTTGTAGCCTCCTGGTCGCGACCTAGTTCGTCCACTAGGTCGTCTTTTCAATTGGAGAGCCTAAGTTTTCGAACGGGTTATCTTCTGAATTGCCGACTAGGTCGTAGTTTGATTCGTCTTTGTGATTGCCGACTAGGTTGTAGCCTGCGTCGTCGACTAATTCGTGGTCGCGTGTCGTCACCACACACACACACACACACAGAATAACGAAGATATATCTTCAGTGGTGACTATCTGTATTCTTACAAGGTCGTGATAGCAAGATTCCTGTACTTGTTTAATGAATCTTGTAGTGCCTCTATCCTAGTCGACGCAAGATTTAGACTCTACTTTGAGATACCCTGGTCTTGATTTTACCTCTTGGGCGAAACACGGCACAATGTGCTTGCCCCGACTCTGTCGTTTATGCCGATTCACTCGAAATCGACCTCATTAAACCAAACTGTATTATATCACACCACCTTTGCAACCATAGTCGGCCCATAACTAACAAGCTAGAAGGCGCTTTAAAGCCCGCTAGCATTTAAAATTAAAATTTAAATTTTATCGAAACGAAAATTACTGTCCCTGTTCTTCTCAATACAGTTTCAATTATTAGAAAATTACCATTCTTGTAAGCAAGAAAGACTAGAACAAAATAAATGTTTTGATTAATAATGAATTTTAAAACCTTGAAAATGTATAGGAAGTCTATGACGAAATAATTAATAATGACGACGACAATGAAAAAAAAAAAACAAAAGGAAATAAAACAAAAAATTGTGTGAAATCTTCTCAATAATATCTTCGCATTAACCTACTTATTTCGTTGTAGCCCAGTCGGTAGAGCGTCGAAATTGTAATCCAAGGGTCGCGGGTTTGATTCCCGCCTAGTTCAATATAGATCCTTTCTCTCGGTGTGTCCTTTGGAAAGGCCCCTTGCATGTTAGCCAGTAAGATCTCAGGCCAATTTAACCCTCGTGTTTCAGTTGTATCAAATTCGTCGTAGTCATTAATTATAGGCAATTAGACGTACGTGTATGTCTGTAGTAGAATGATTATAGATAACAGTTTCACAAGATATAAGATAGGGATACCTTACCAAACCACCTCATTCCATAAAATTTGCTGCACCAGTTCATTCAGTTGAAGTGATGCAGAATATAATTTGAGTTAAATACCACGGAAGAAATCAACTCCCGTGCTCTGTATACTTTACATTTCCCATTGACTGCTTTTGCTACACAGAGTAAACAACGAAAACATGTTCATCAACCCACCAGAACAAACTATATCCCAACATGTGCCTAGTACTACGCTGTCTAGCCACACACGCATGGCGTGCCAGTATTTACTTAACCGTAGTGCAACAATATATTGGAGCATGCGTTTAAGCAGCATATTATGTATAAAGCACAATCATACGTAGTATGAAGCACTAAAGTTTTATCCTTATACCCAGAGTGATAGCTCTCTAAACACAGTTGAGGTATTTCTCAGATCGATCGCAAAATGGATTTGACAGCAGCTCTATTCACCAGCACACATAATTCGTGAGTTTTTCGCAGCTACTAACTGCTAGATTTGTGAAAGGTTTCAGAGGAAGTTCTTCCACTGATAAAAAAACACAGCCTGTTTAACGATGAAAATCAAGGTATTGGATCTAAAGTTCTTGACTTCTGTCACATCGCTAATATGTACAGATTTACCGAAGTTGAGAATTTATCCCAACAAAATCCCTGTGATGCTTCATAACATGCGTGGGTACGATGGCCATTTGAGCAATAGTCACTGCACGCGACTCGCCGATAAACGTGATACCCAACAATATAGAAATATATATGACCATTAGGCAGGAACAATGGCAGTTCATCGACTCGTTGCAGTTTATGTTAATGAATTCGTCCTTGGACAAGTTATCAAACAATCTGTGGGTGGGAGAACTTCAAAATCTCTCGTCGATACTGTCCATCCGATACAGACCTGATAACGAGAATAGTTGTGTAACCGTACTAGTACATGAGCAACAGGAAATAATTAGTCGAAACCTAGTTGCCACCGATCGATCCGATTTATACGTGAAGCTATTCTCTTAAAACCGTTTGCCGCTTTTTTAGCTAGCTTGAACATCTTTACTTTACATCGAACACAATATCAGTAATCTCAGCTATTTTACAATGTGTTTGAACTCGAGGTGGGTTTTTGTTGTACGTGTTTTCGCGCGACATCACACACATTATGAAGATATGATCGTAATAATACTATATTTTTCAATGGTATCGCGCGGACAATGGTCATGTACTTTTTTGTCATCGTCAAAAGCTTTATCACAAATATGACAAATTTCTGCTTGCTCGTGAGCGGATTCTTGTTGAGGTGTTAATTTTAACATTTTCGTTACTTTTTTCAAACGATAAGTAATATTATCAACTTCATTAATCAACTGCTTGAGAAGCCAAACAGCTGGATTTTTACCTTGATATAATTTGATCGGTTTAGATAATCTCGAATTAGTACAACAAACTACCTTGTACGCTACTCCACACGGAACATGATTTTGAACTTTTCTTGTACTCGATTGATTAGGATTATTTTCTACGCCAAGTACAGGTTGAAGTAAACATTCAAAATCAGCGTATATAACGAAAGGAATTTTTAGTTTGTGATTATGATGGACAAACTGTAACACAGTATCTCCCTTAGATGGCATTGTTATTCTTTGCACATCACTACAGTACTGCAAATGCTTTTGTAATGTTTCATTGTTAGTACAACCATGCAAGCAGCGGTAACAAAAGAACTTTTTGTTCCTATTTTTATTGTACTGTTTACCAACTAGTCCGTTAAAGTTTTTAATCCAAACGTAATGATTTTTGTAGTACAGTAAATTTATAGTCGATTGTGAAGCTTTTTCTGAAATATATCTCGGGTATACATCCTCTTTTTCATCTAGTCCGAAAAAGTTAATTGAAACATTATTTTGCTTTTCAAATTTTGGTATTTGATTTTCTACCACAGGAAAGTTAATATCTTTAAAATTTAATCTAGACACGTGACTGATATATTTTTCAACGCGATCAGCGTGTTTTTCTGCTGGAAATAGTGCGGAAAGAACAGCCCATTGGAAACACTTGTTATCTACGTTTTTGATGTTTATACAACATCTTTTACTTTTTATTTTTGGTGGCAGGTCGATGTATGAACTACCTCGTAATGCGTTATATTTCATCGTGTGAAACAATATTTCTTTGATCATTTCAAACTTCCAACCCGAACCTAATTGAGTGAATTCCTCTATTTTTTTTCCAGATTTCTTGGTGTATTTCATCAGATAGTGATAACAGATCAGTCCCAAGCAAAACACGTCTTGATTTTGCGTTCATAAAAGGTTCTGCAATTTCCTTGTTAGTTAATTCTTCCGTTATAACTAACTTTGAAAATATAACATGATATTGCACAAATAATCTAATACTTTTGTGTTTTTCAAGCTCATGTTTTACAGTTGTCTGTAGTAGGTGGTAAAGATTTGTTGTAGTAAAATTTACTAAAACAATTTGATTATCAAACTGATAACTATTATCAAAACCTGCAAAAGCAGTCGCTATTTTATTAGGTTCTCCCTTAAGGCTTTTCTTAACTATATCACGTAATTTTAACATTATTATATTATAATGTATTATCTAATTAATAATTTTTTCACACTACGCATGCGCTAAAAATCAATTGAAGATAAAAAATCTCCTATAATATAATGACAGCAAATCTAACAAACACATGTGAGCAAGAAACATATCAAGTTCACCCAAAGTATAACTTTATCTCACACTGCGCATGCGCTAAAAATCAATTGAAGATAAAAAAAAATCGCCTATAATATAATGACAGTAAATCTGACAAACGCACGTGAGGAAGAGATTTATCAAACTCACCCAAAGTATAACTTTATCTCACACTGCGCATGCGCTAAAAATCAATTGAAGATAACAAATATTACCTATAATATAATGACAGTAAATCTGACAAGTGCACGTGAGCAAGAAGCATATCAAATTCACCCAAAGTATAACTTATACGCTGGAAATGTATTAGGTTCGGTTATTAACATCAAAACTAGAATATCTGTTGGCAAATTAACGTCAGCGGGTTTTACGATTAGTGTAAAGGGAGATAATACTGAGAGGATTGCAATGTTTAGAAAAGATTTTATTTACACGTTGTTCTGCGATGATATTCCAGAGGGACAGCGTGTATATCATTATAACGGTAAAGTCACTGATGACAACATTGAAAACTTATCCTTACAAGATGAGTTTCAGCCACATCCTGTCTTTGATTTATACGAGGCTAACGATCGCGGTATTATTAGAAACAGAAAAACTAAAAAAGTTCTTGGTACTATGAACAATATGGGATATATCAAAGTAACTGTTAGAGGAACATCGCCGAATCAAGTTAATTATTATGGTCATAGGTTTGTTTACGAGGTGTTCAACGGATCTATACCCAATGGTCTTGTTATTAATCACATCAATAACGTAAAGACTGATAATCGATTGGAAAATCTAGAACTAGTTACCCAACAGGAAAATGTAAGAAAAGGACGAGGTGGTGGTATTAATTTTAGATGTCCAATAAAACCTGTTATTTCAAAAAACCACGAAACGGATGAGGAGATTAAATTCAAATCGATTTCAGCTGCGGCGAAATATTATAAGATAAATCCCGCAGTCGTAAAATTTATAGCTGATGGAGAATTGAAATCAACTTTTTCAAGCGAATACGATGCTAGGATTGGTTTTAGATATGATGATCAATAATATTTTGTAATTCGGTTTTAGTCAAGCAATGATGAGCAAATGCTATGATATCATCGTGATTAAATTTTAGCGTCGTTACTGCACTTTCATTAATTTTATTTTTTTCTGCTTCTGTTATTAATATTTTATGAGAATCACCTTGCATTACAATAACATCAACACTATAACCCAACAAATATTTTCTTACCGCTTCGGCTAGTAAGTTGTAATTTACTATATTAACTTTTTGGTGATATTTTATCTCATCAGTCATCTTATAATAATAAATTAGATAAAAATATATTATATTAATGGACTTGATGAAACGACTTGCTGAACTCTACGAAGAAGATACTAGCGACAAAGTCACCAGCGACAAAGTCACCAGCGATAAGGTCACATTTTCCAAAGATTTTATAGACAAATCTATTGGTTATAGTGAAGATGATATTTTGTATAAGAATGAATCTGATGATGATGGTGAAATAGTCACTGTTGCTGACAGATCAAATTACAGCAGATCAACAACTAAACGGTATAATGTCAAGTATCACATTGCTAAACAAATAATAAAATTTAATTTTACCGTTGCCGAACAACAACTGTTTTGGCAGCTAATCAAACCTTTCTTAAATATCAAGATTCCAGGCCGACAGAAAAATATCAAATTCGATTTCATATTCGTTAAAATTTTTAATCTAATGACGATCTCTAACGATCGTAAGCAGTATCTAATATTGTTATGTAAACCAGTAAAATGTAAATCTGTCAAACAAAAGTATGAGTTAATTTATAATAGCATTATATCATAATCTGCTTGGATGGGATCCAACTGTTAAATTTATCGCTATACCCACGCCATTTGACTAAACTTTTATCCCCTTTTTTTCTAATCACTTTCTCGATAACAAAAACATCCTGCTCAGTTTTCTGTAGTTCTTGTTCATAAAAACTACCTACGATCGGTTCCCCTGCCAGATCTTTTAAAACGTACGTTACAGGTACTGTTAGAAGTACCTTATCAACTACAAATACTTCTTCGCTCCAGTTTGGAGTAAATCCTTTTGCAAATACCTTTTTCATCAAAGAAATTCTAACTTTA